CAGAACGGAACAAAAAACTCACTACTTGGAAATAGTATTCCCAGAACAGAGCAATTGTGTTCTGTTCCAGGAATAGCACTTCCGGGCATTGAGACAGGTCAATACTTGTCTGAGAATGACTTTTTACAAAGATGCCTATTACACATTGTAAAACATGGATCGAAAACTTTCGGGTAAAGTATGGATGAAAGAGTAAGCCTCAAGCGTGGAGTTTACGCTTAAAGCTCACTTTTTTTAACCACTTTTCATCTATCCTGTGGCTTCTATGAAATGATGTATAAGCGAACGGAATTGGAGCGGGGCACCTGGAAATGTTTCCTCATAAGGAAAGACGAACAGTGATTTTGAATAATTGATGTAAAATATTGATTCGATCATTACGACTAGACTATCAATTAATGTAAGAAAATAAATAATATTTCTTGATCCTTTATCATAGAAGTTATTATATTAATAAGTCAGTAGCGAAACGTAGTCATTGATCTTAACTATGGTTGCTAAGCCTTTGAGTCACTAGAGAAAGCCAGATATTTATTTTGGACTCCGACTTCTAGGCGAGCCGGAAAACTTCTACTTCAACTTACACTCATTATAGTTCTTTTTAGAATATATTGAGTTCCACAAAATACTAAACAATAAGACACTTTCAATATCATGAAAAGATAGCCCATGGTCGACAGTACATGATGTGAAGAAAAAACATTTTGTGAACGTCACTTCTGTGGCTATTTTAAAAATTGAGCTGGCTGATAAGTATTACCATGAACGATTATCCAAATCTGACTAAGGATCTACACTTGTAATATATATATATATATATCTCCATAATAATTCATTCTTCTGAACTGAAATTACTAGTCTTATCCAACCTTCACTAGGTCCGTGTACTCTGAAAATATTAGCCAAATAGGTAAGAATGATTGAGCAACTTTGGTCATGGCTTACATGCGATGACTGCTAGGGTATAACGCACACACTTATATACGTTTAGAAACAATACAAAGTTTAGACGACTGAGTACTCACATATACTTATTATATAGTTATCTTATTTATAAGATATAACTTTAAAAACTAGCTACTAAGCGGTTGTCACTTACTTTATTAGTAATAACCTTGCCAAGTTATTCTATCGTTTTGTAAAGACTCATTACATTATATATGACTTCGCAGCCCTATTTATACCAAAAAAAGAACTATAACTGGGGAAAAAACCATTAAAGAATTGAGAAAGAAATCTATATACTTCTTCAGAGCGTACACGCCCTATCTATATATATATGAAAAATGAAAAGGAAAGGGCAAAAAAATTATTGGTTGATATTTTCTTTTGATATGAAACATGCACGTATAGATAGCGTTATACTCTGCATATACTATTGAGTAAAAAAAAGAATCATGAAGCCTGAATAATAATTTATTTGAAAAAACGGAAACATCTAAAGAGCGTAAGTGCGAATGTGGTTTTGGGCAAGGATGGTTATAAGAAATAAATAGAGTATCTACGCTGACACTCACACACTAGGTGTCACTGCAAATAGCGTTTAATCAGACACATAATAATAATCATATGTGTTGCATCCAAATAACTCAACAAATGATCCTTTTCAATATTCAAAGCAAAATGAAGCTTGTTTTTAAGAAAACAAAAATCTCAAAATACAGTATGATGGTATTATTGTAAATAATGATTTCAATTTTTATTATCCAAATCATTGTTACTTTATTTTGTTCGAACATAGTACGACATCTCAATATTTAAATAAAATAATAATTCGTTTGTTTTTCTTTTTCAGCATGGATCGAAAGTAGTGTGAACAAATAAATTAATCAAGTTTCTTCTTCTGTTCCGTTTTTATTTTCTTAAACGTAAAAATGTGCTTGCATGAATCACAAGCGAAATGCCAACATAGAATATCATCATAAAAAATGTTAGTTGAAAATTACCAGTGGAAATATGTCATCGTATTTTTATCTGTTTCAATGTTCAAATAATTCTCTTTTCAGTTCAATCGATTGTTAATACTTATGATCGTTA